CAGCCGAAGTCATGATCTCCTTTCGAAAAGACGTCTGCATAGTTCGCCAAAAGTTCTCTAACCTGAAGAGCCTGTGATGATGACAAATGGACTATACTCTTCTTATAGAGGTTAGTTAAATGTTCTGGGAGAGGACGCCCTTTCTTTATGGTCGTATTTCTTGCCTTAATATTGACTGGCTCTACCTCCTGGCTCACATCCAACAATACCCCTTCTTTAAGTGTCTGCTCACATTTAGAGAAATTGGCCACTGTTATGGGTACTACTTGATGACCTGCCACAAGTGACCTTCCAATTTTCACATCCACTGGCCTGGATGGGTCTTCCACTGCTTCCACAAGCATCATGCTTCCTTGAGGATGTTCTTTTATTCTACTCCAAATTATCTTCTCTGACACCTTGATGGCCCTGTTCTGTTGTTCATTTCATTCCAACTGAAATGTCCTGGACCATGATAACACCAAAGCCTGCGGGCATGCACCAGCTTTGGCTTACCTCGCCAACCACATTTTATCTGGAACGTCATGTCTGAGAGACGATCCACTATGTCATATGGGTATTCCCATGGAGAAGACAAGTTAGAAGATTTCCCTTTGGTCTTCCTGGGATTATACAAAAACACCTTGTCTCTTGGTACAAAGCTGATCTCTGTAGTTGTGCCTGTCGTCTGCTGACAACTGTCCAAGTATTTCCAGTGGTTGTCCCTTCAGGCTTGTTGCCAGGTGCACTGCTTACTGCTCTTCTGTCCATCCATTTATTTCTGCCAGTAGCTCAAATTGTGCTCTATATGCTTTCCATCATGCCTTTCCATCGAATTCCTGTGGCTTCCTTCATACTAGATCACCCATATTGCTGACACTCATGTCTGGAATGTGACTTCTGACAGGACTGAATATGTCTGCACTAGGGTTTAGCTGCGGGGTCTGGAAAGGGCTCCCCATTGTCTGAGGCTGATTAGGTCGATGGCTAATATATCCTCCTTTAATGTATTTAATTCACTTTGAAATATACTCATTTTTTCCATTTGTGTGTGTTGGCTTTCTCTCAACTGTTAGAGACTTTCTTCTTCTTCATTTTCTTTCTCCTCCAAGCACTGCTGTAGTCTCTCTTTTTTATTTTGCTGTTCGAGCTGCTACTGTTGCAGGTTTTCTTGCCACTGCTGTTGGCTCTCTTCTTGTTATTTTTCTTTTTCCTCCAATAACAGCTGTAATCTCTCTCTTGTTTATTTTGCTGTTTGAGCTGCCACTGTTGCAGTTTTTCTTGCCACTGCTGTTGTCTCTCTTCTTGTTTCTTTTCTCGTTCTTCATGTTTCTTTTGTTGTTTATTTAGTCGTTCTTCATGTTTCTTTTCTCGTTCTTCTTGTTTATCTTGCTGTTCTTGTATTGCAGCCACCAAATCTGCTAAAGCTGTAGTTTGATTTGCCACCTCTTGTTTCCATCTTCGTCTTTTCTTTTTTTTCCATCCACCTTCTGACACC